AACTTGAGACTTTTTAAGGATGGGAATTAGTGTTCGAAACATCAAAACCAATGGTTGGTATATAGAAAGAGATTGTCTTTTGAACTAAAACAGCATGAACTGTTGTTCGAAGCAAAAAATGGTCAATTTAAAACTAATTGATCATACTAACCATGACCATATGTTGGTTATGATTAAAACAAGCTTTAAGGGGTAAGATTGTTAGATTCGAAGCACTAATTCAAAATGAAAATCAGCGAAAAACTGTTAACTATATTCCATAAGTTGGAAAAGTTCATTGTTGGTTCTTTTTAGTGTTTCATTTTAAACGATTGAGTCCAGATTCGAAGGATGAGATTGTTCAGTTCGAAGCCCTGAATTTGTTTCTAAGACAAATGGAGACAATGCCAAACAAAGAAAAGTCTTAGTTGTATTAAAGCAAAAACAATTACATCGAATGGCCTTATTTGGGTTCAAACTCAAGCTCATAAAAATAGGGAATGGAATAAATAACAAGATCATGAAATTTAGTCCAACTATGATCAATGAATTTCTGTTCTTTCTTTATTCTATCCTCTATTTCTTCTAACATTGGTTGCATGAGTTGACGTGCTCTCACTTCGTAAAAGAGCTCTTCAGCCTTTATTTCGAATGATGTTTCTCTCAATCCTTGTTCCAATTCGTCTATATCCAAGTCATCCTAGTACGCAGAATCTTTATTCTTGAAATCATCGAATTCTTCAATGAAGTTCTCTGCTTCGTACTGGGCATGAACTCGAAGGGACGAGAGTTGGTCCAAAGAATGAGTGGTGGCCATAGAGGTCCGATGCCAGTAGAGAAGCAGTGAAAGTTGGTCCAAGAACATGTGAAGCTCTGCTTGGACGAGGGGATTGAGGACATGACCCAGAGTTAGAATATCACAAGCCCATCGAAGGTTTTTGAGAGGGACTTCGTTCTCAAGAACATTGAAAGGCAAGTGAGAGAAAGCCGCGAGCAGAAGTTGAGCTTGCTTCCGCTCAGCTGGAGTAGGGGAAGGTGGAGGCTTGTAAGGTGGCAAGACCTTATCTGCGGAGAGGGCAAGCCTCAGTCTCTCTGTCCAACAAGGATTTGGAAGAGGAGAAGGTGTGGATGCTTCTATTTCAGGAGATGGAGTAAGGGCAGAAGGAACAAGGGCATTAATGTAATCGAGCCAGTCAGAAGAACAAATTTTCGCCTTCTGGGCTAAGAATGATGGATTGTACCCTTGTGCCTTTTCTATGCATCGGGCGGCGTGCACTATCTTTGTAGGCATGAAGGATGTGTACCATGCTACAAGCAGATTCTCCTCCAAACTGCGTCGATGGTCAATGGGCACGTAAGGGTAGACCACCGAGCTTCGCGCATAGGAAGGGAACTCTAAAGGGTCAGTGAACTCAACAAAATGATGGTTGATTTGCTCCCTTAGATCACAGGTCTCAGGTTTCGACCAGCTTGTCCAGTCCGAAGCCCCAGAGGAAGAAGAAGTTGCAGCTTTATCGCATGTAGAAGGTTGTAAAGAAGAGCTTTCCACGTCCATATTTGCGACTTTCTGAATCAAAGGATTGAGAGCAGTTCGTTCGAAGTCCAAGGGTGAGTCAGAAGAAGAACTTCCTATGTCCATATTTGTAAGTTTCTGAATCGAAGGATTAAGGGCAATGTGTTCGTAGTCCAAAGGTCGATAATTTGCAAAGGCATCCATGACCTGAATATAGAAAGGTGGGTAAAGGTGGCTAATTAATGCAGGGAGGTTCTTCCGAAGAAGAGCAGCATCATTATATGACTCTTCGTGTGCTCGATCAATGGAGGAAAAAATTGATTCGGCCATAAAATTGTATTAGCCTGTTTGAATACTAAGGTGGTGGGGGTGTTCAAAGGGTTGAAGGAGAGTTTAATGCAGATGATGAATGACAGTTGCATTTCTGGAAGAATGCGAAGCCCATGCACGTTCTAAGACGTGGGAAAAAGGCCTCGATCCACTAATATCACCAAGTATTGGGTATATTAGTGCGGGGGGTAATGTGGGCTACATATTTTGTAAAAGCCAATTACAATTCGACGCGTGGTAGAATAAGGGTAATACAGGGAGACTATTCAAGTCTTCGATCTTGATCGTACACGTGGCAGTTAGCATTGGTTATTACAAGATCTGAGTAGCAGTGGATTAACGAAGAGATGCAAGGTATTATGGCTTCAACGGTTACTCACATTCAAATTCGAATTTATAAGGGAAGCCTAACTGCAAGTGATGGCGTAGTGGAACTAGTTATAAGGCAACATGATCAACGATCATAGAGGAGCAGTTCGACGGTTTGAAATACAGTTCGATGGTCATCCTTGAGAAGTATAAATAGCAGAGAAGGCCCCAGAAAAAAAAACCCCAGACTCAGATCCAAAAAACCAGTCTTATTCTACTTTACATATTTTTCTTTCTAGTTTTACATTTTCTGTTCTTTACATTCCTGTACTTTAAATTCCTGCACTGCACTTCGTTCATAGGAGTAGTTTTAAGTAGATTGTCGCTGTAAACCTCTACGAGGCTGAGTTTGGATCATTGTAAGTTTTTCATTCTAACGAAATGCTTTAGTTGTTCTTCATTTGATTGATATTTTGCTTAAATTCTCCTAAATTAAGCCACCAGTAAAAGTCCTCTTCATTGAGGCTGAAAGAACTAAAACACAATCGTCTGATAATTGGTTGGCAATTAAACTTCTATAAGAACTGATTGATCCTTACTGGCACACTCGCAATTACAAAAATAACATTCAAAAGCTAAAAAGCCAACAGTAACATTCCTTCTATCTTAAAATATTAGTATTTTTTTTTAATAGAAAATCTAATTAGTGTGTTTGGTTTGAGTTTTTTGAATTAAGTTTTTTGAAAACTGAGTTTTTTGGTTTTCATATTTTTTTTATTTTTAGTGAATATTTTTAAAATTTTAAACATTTTTTTTTTACTTTTTTATATGCACCTTACTTAGATGTATCTAAAAAGTAAAAAATTTGTGAAAAATTATTTTTAAAATTTAATAAATACATAAAAATATAAAAAAATGTACTGAATTTTTATATTTTTTTTGTATTTTTGGTATTTAGTTAATTTTTAAAAGGTTTTTTTCAAGTTTTTTTTTTACTTTTTAGGTATATTTATGTTAGGCATGTCTAAAAATTAAAAAAATTACTCAATATTAAAAAAATTCATTAAAAACAAAAAAATAACAAAAATAAGAAAATAAAAGTTTTTGAAAAATGATAACCAAGCATAGGGAATGTCTTTTCAAAAACATATAACTTTCTAAATTATCTTTTGATAGTATAATTATTACACTTCAAAACTATTAATATTAATGAATTGAAAAGAATGACAAAATAGAAAATTCATATTGTTTTAGTTCTTAATTTTTGAAAAACCACTAATATATTGGGATATTAAAAAATAGAATAAAAGACTAATATTTTGGGATAAAGGTAGTATCAAATTTTATTATGAGTTACAATTTGTTTGAAAATTGATTTTTTTAATGAATTAATTATTTTTTTTATAAAAAAAATACAAAAAAAAATTAAAAAAATCTTACAATATCTAATGAACCCAATAAATTTCATTTCCATATTTTAGTAATCAATAAGTCCTCTAAATAATCTAAAGAACACAATAGTTCTATTTGTGTGAAAATGATGATATAACATTACAATTTACACTTGTGGATGCTAGTTAATACGCCTAAATGACCAAAATCACCATAGTTCAAAATTACACATTTGTCTAAAGTTTCCTAAGGGGTTTTTGTACTTTTTTTTGAATGATTGAAAAATCCCACATTTTAAGTTATTCCAAATTAAAACCCCACAATTTAAAATTACACATTTATCTTAAGTTTACTAAGGGGTTTGTAAAGAATCTTATATTTGAAGTTATTTCTGTACTCCTTTTGGAATGTTTGAAGAATCCCACATTCCAAAACAAAAAGATTTTCATATTAAAATCCACTCCAAATTTGATTAACATATATTGTGTATTTTACATCTCCAGCACAAAAGAAAAAAGAAAAAGAAAAAGGGGAAGCAAAATAAAAATAATGATATAACCGTAAATCAAATTTTCAAATAATATATTAGATTCACATTTTCAAAATTAATGAGACTAATTGGTCTATAAGAAAATCGTTGAAACTAAATGAATCACCATTCCTCAAGATTTGATTTATAGATAAATTTTTCTTTTTTCTTTTTTGTTAATTTTTTAATTGTTTTTAATACATTACCAAACGTGATGTTAGGCCATATTTATTTGGCTCTTTAGAGAGGAAGATTGGACTGATTGTTCTTGGGATTCACTTAAAGAGTATTTGGTTAGAAATATGAGTGAGGGGATTAACTATTCCTTTTGACTAGTAATCCTCGCATTGATATGACTATCAATCCCATGGGAAGATTTGGATTAGAAATTAAGTGAGGGAATGAGTGAATTTTAAAGTAATTTTGAAACAAAATTTATATTGTTTAGAGAAAAAATAATAATTATAATATTAAAAAAATACTAAAAATTAAAATATATTAATTTTATATATTAATACTATTTATAGTATTACTAATCCAGTGAGACCATCTTCAATGGTTACTCAAATTTAAATTTGATGAAAAATGAGTTATTTTCCTACTCTAACGATTGCATCCATTAGGTATCAAATTGAAATTTTCACTTTTCTTTCATAAACTGAGAACAAATGTGTCTTTCATCAAATCACTGTTCATTGTCATTGCCGGTTGTCTCCTGAATGACCACATCAAGGTAAAAATTTGTGAAAAAATTGTAGTAGCCGGTCGACCGCCCAATCACCAAAAAAAAAAAATTTACACTGGCCGGTCGACCGGTCTGACATCCGCCCGGTCGATCGATATTCTGATAAAATTTTAAAATCTTCTATTAAAACACTTGATATTAAAAGAAACTTTTACTATGAAAAAAATTGATACACCATTAAAGATAGTGAAAGAGCTCATATCATGCAGGTAGTGAAAGAGCTTATATCATCCTTGGATATCATAGACTCCACAGACAATAACGGCAACACAGCATTACACGTAGCTGCTCACAGAGGCCAGTTAGCTGTGGTTGAAGCTCTAATTCTTGCATTTGTAGCCATCATTGGAAACATTCATTCTGATTTGGTGGAGCAACTGATGAGAGTCCGATCAATTGATGTGAATCTCCGTGATTTAAATGGCATGACCCCACTTGATCTTCTCAGGCAACGGCCACGTTCTGCATCGTCTGATATACTAACAAGACAGCTAATTTCAGCTGGAGGAATCTTCAGTTGCCAGGACTATACTGCAAGAAAAACCATTGCTTCCCACTTGAGAATGAGAAGTATTGGAAGGCCCGGCACTTCTTTCAGAATCTCTGACACGGAAATATTCTTGCATACGGGAATTGAAAATGCTTCGGAAGCTAGTGGTAGTGCAGGACCGAACTCATCTACCGATTTGAGTCAACACGACTCAACTGTTGAAAACCATAATGCATCGAATCCAACTACTCATAAGAAACAAGCTTCTGTAAATTATGCAGCACAGCGTTTGAAACGCCTGCTCCATTGGCCCAAGATGAAAGAAAGAAAGAACGACAAGATCAAGAAAATGGTGGAAAGAAATTCAGCAAGTAATTTGGATGAAACTCCAATTCCACTCCGACAGGGATTTTCAAAGCCCTCATCGCTTCCCAACAACAAGCGAACACTTTCAGTAAGAAGTAACGTTCCGAGTCCTGCAAAGAAGAAATTTGCTTCTGGAATAGTTCAAGGTGTTATGCAGGCCATGCCACATCTTGCTGTTCCACGTCGATCACGTTCAAGTTCATTCTCGAAATCATCAGTATCCTCATCCAATTCGGATAAACAAAAGGGTGTCTATAATGAGAGTGATATTGCAGGACCGAGTCGAATATCTGGTGATGGATCGCCATATTTGATTCGCAAGCAATGGTCAACTAATAAGAGTTTGATGAACCAGTACCTTTCCTTTGGTGGACCGAGCCTATCTCTGAAAGACCAAACTGGACGGCAAGAGCCAGACCAGAATTACAAGCGTTCAGTTGTATCAGCGGCTTGATCGATTAGATGAGAAACTGATAAAGCACGGTCCTTGCGGTAATTTGGGAATCAAAACAGAAGGAAGAGAGATTGATGCAAGTCCTCAAATTCTGTAGGTCAGTGAGTTTCATAGCTGCTTAATAAATTTTTGTGTTTACTAGATGGTTTTGCTTCTTTAAGTTATTTACTTTGTGTCTGAACCTAGTTTCATGTAATAATTCCATTCCAAGTCATTTTCTCATAGAGAATTGTAAAATTCTGCATTCCTGGGTCTTTGGTTCCTGTGTTTTAACCTGGAATATGAATATTTACCAGAAATTATGACTGCTAATTTATACTGGAAATGAGGTCTCTGCACCCACAAACATTGCATAATATGGAAATGGTTAGGTGGCTAACAAATGCTCGAGCTCTGCAACACAACAACGAATATGACGTGTAATCACTTTGTAACATACCAAGATCTATTCATTTATAATAAATAAATAAAATAAAACTTAATTTGATAATCATAACTACACGATTTCATCTTCAAAAAATGGATGGTCTATTTTATGTGACTATAATTATCGAATTAATTTGATAATTTCATAAATAATTTACGTACTTGTTCAAAAAAAAAATTAATTACACGAAGGTATCGAATGTGAAGTTCTGGGACAATAGGCCCAAACTGAACTGATTTAATAATTTATACAGTAGACTCAGAAAAAAAGCTCAGCCCTATCTCTTTTCTGTCACTTCCACGATGAGAATCTTTTGGGTTGTTGGGTTTTGGGGAGGGAAGGACGAGGCCCGTTAATGATGGAGTAGGCTTTTGTGTGTATTGGGCTCCAACCCTCATGCAGGCCCGTTAAGTCTTTGGAAAAAGTTCTTACTTTTTTTATTAGCTATCAATTCCTTTTATATTTTCTTTGATTTCCTGTTTTACATATAACATATGAGAAAAAGATCCGGACTCCCTTTTCTCCCCACCCTCTTGACCTCCTCTCATTTTGATTGGTCAAATTTTTTTCTTTTTTTTCCCCTTCTCCTCCAATCACCACCCGCCATGTGTAGTGTATTGGGAGTAGTGATTGGAGGGGGTCTCTATCAAAGCACATATGATAGATAGAACATCATGGTGACGCTAGCATGAATGGTTCAAATAAACTTAATTGGTTTTGAATTTGAATATAAAACAAAATGATTATATGAGGATGGTGATAGATAACACAATGTCTCACGGGTGTTCATAGATCGATTTTTAACGGTTTGATTTCACGTTTGAATTTGTCTGCATATCTACGATTTGAGAAAATTTAAACTTGTAATTGCCCGTAATATGGGTTGTGATTTGTACGAATAGGGTTTGCGGATGTGGAGGCGGTTGCGATCGGTTTACAAATTGAGTTTTTTCCTTTAAAATTTATTTTTTGGCTTATTTTTTCTTATTTTTTTAAATATTTTTGATTGCAGGGGATTCAATATTATCCTCCATTAAAGCTAAATTACAAAAAATTAGAATGAAAATTAAATAAAAATTAACATAGAAAAAAAAATTATATAACTAGATTTGTAAAAAATTAAAAAAAAAAAATCAATTGAATAATAAGAAAGCGTGTGATATTATTATAATATTAGAGGTTGTAGGTTTGATAATCAGATTAAAGTGAGTGAGAGAAGAGAATATTATGGTTACACACTTACAAAACTTACAAGAAAATCTAATGACCCAGATTTTTTTAAAAAAAAATAAAAATAATAATTAAATACAGATGGGGGTGGTTGAGTGCACCGCAACCTGCCCGCAACTCGCAAAATAAGAAAATCCTAAACCGTATATGACTCTAACAATTTGTGAAACTGCTCAAATAAGCACGGATGGTTCGGATTGAGTGGTTTTCACAGGTCGAATAACTTTATGTCTAGTCCTACAATATTTATACAAATTTAACATACAAAATGGTGACAATTTATGATGCTCCTTGTGTGAGTGATTTTTTGACCACACTGCCCGCCTAGTAATCAGCTGGAGAGCACCGGCAGAATAGATGGCTTCAGCAAACCTGTAATAGAAAGAAAAGGCTCCGGCGGTGGCTCTTCCACCCGGGGGCACTCTGACGATCAAGTCAGTATATCTCTCAAAGATAATCAAGTGCTAAACTCACTACTCAAAGCATAAAACTGCGTACCTTAGACCCACGGGGGTGCCTCTCTTTTATAGTTTACTCAATCCTAGTCCCACTAGAAACCTGACTTCTATGGATTCCCATTCAGTGCTTACTTTGGATTTCTCAAGAGATAAAGATAAACTCTCTAAGAGCTTTATCCTTATCTTAGCAAAGTCCTCTCTTTACTCTAGGACTCTTGCCCCTTATCCATTATCCGCTTATCTCGGATTCCGATGAGATAACCTCGGCTTTACCGAGATCACGTCGGCGTCACGACCAGGACACGTGGCACCTCGGCTGACACGTCGGCGTCACCTTGCCACGTGTTGGTACTCAGAAAATATATCCCCACAGTTGCCAGGACACGTGGCACTTCGGCTGACACATCGGCGTCACCTTGCCACGTGTTGGTATTCAGAAAATATATCCCCACAACTGCCCCCTAGGTTCTATTACCTCGGCATTCTGAGGTGATGGAACCTATATCTGTATTTTTTTCCAGTAAATCGGCTTAAGATTTGACAGCCGAGATCATTCATTTCTGGCCGACATGCTTTCCCTAAAAAATTAAAGATTTTTAAGGAACTTTTTACGCGCATGAGCTGTCATGCACTTCAATTCGACCGTTTTAGACACGCATTTCTTTCTTACTGGCTCGTGCCTATGACGCGCCCACAAGTCATCTCTTTTTCACATGCGCCGTATGACGTATGCGCTCTTTTAGGCGTATTGATTGCTTTTGCCGCCGTTTTCATTTTTTGATAAAATCTTTCCCCTTTCTTTCGTCTCTTCACTTTTGCATCTGAGTTCTCTTGCTTTTTTCTCTCTCTAAAACTTTTTCCCTCGAATCCGCCATTGTTTCAAACTCCAGGCTCTGCAACTTCGTTCGTCTCTCTGGTGAGGCTCTCGCTACTTTGTCACTCTTGTGATCGTCGTCTGTCTTCGGCGAACTTCATTCCGGCTTCAATTTCTCTGGTAAGCCACTATTCTTTATGTATTCAGTTTACTGATGTTCTTCTATATTTTTGCTGCCATTACTGTTCTGTTTAAACTGTTAATTCCGTGAATCATATTTATTGTTCACTACTTCTTGCATTTTTGCCACTGTTCTTGGCCCTGCAGTTCTTGTTTTCTTTATGCTTTTGAGAACCCCACTTCTGTTCTTCGTTCTGAAACTGCGTTCTGGTTTCTTGTTTCCTATGTTGTTTTCCAGATCTCTACCTTCAATTTTTGCTTTCAATCTTTGCCTTCATAGATTTAGGTTTGGGATTTGTCTATAGAACCTATCAATTCTTAGGAAAAAACTGGAACAATCCTTACCAGTATATACCTAGGGTTTCGCCGAGGTCCCGATAACCCCTTAAGAGCATCTTCATTCTGAAACCTAGTCCTACTTTAGGCCGACGTTATGGGTATGTGGAGGCACAGGGTAGATACCCCGACCAAACTTGAGTACTTTAGGCAGGAGTTCTCCATCCCTGCCGATGTCCACCTGAAACTGGCTAGGGATGACGACTTCATCATGCCGACAAAAAACGCCATGCCCCTTCCCATTGTAGCTTTTACTGAGTGCGGACTCCGGCTCCCACTCAACATTCTTTTTCGCGAGATCCTCCATTATTATAAGTTGAACCCCATGTAACTGGCAATCAATTCTTATCGAGTGATTTTTGGTATTATCACCTTAGCTAGGCAGGAAAACGTTAGGATCACCTTAGCCGACATACAGTTTTGTTACACCATGTGTGCCCTTAACTTGAAAGAAAAAGGCTTCGTTTATTATCTTAAGCCGAGGTCTACTGAATTCAAAATCGTAGCCGACCTCCCAGACTCCAACAAGGGGGCTGGAGATGATTATGTTATTGCTTCGGGAAATTGGGAGTTTGGCGCAGACAAGGACGCCCATTTCTACCCTCTTCCCCGATCAGTTAAAGAGGGCAAGGGTAAGAGCCCAGTGTCAATACTTAGTTGTTTATGTTCAAGTCTTCAATATTTTATCTGTTTCCAATGTCTATTTCTTCTTGCAGACGTTCGTAAGCCAGTGAAAAACTTCCGCCAATCTTACGTTCCCAGTAAGGACCTGAAAAAACTCCTGGACTTGCCAGTTCACAAAAGAAAAGCACTTCTTCTTCGCAACTTTATTCCTACATACAAATCGACTTTGCCCGACGTCCCCAAAAGAAAGAAGAAAAGCCTTTCTCCTCCTACTGCCACAACTCAAACTGTCTCTACATCACGAATAGATCAAGAGTCAACATCTGACCGAACCAATCAACCATCTACTTCGGCCCCATACTTGGTCCCAATACAAGAACGAAAACGTCGGCGAAGACTTGTCAAAACTGCTGAGATGGGTCGCCCAAAGCCCGTTTGTGATACCCCTGTCCTGTATTATGTTAATTGGTCCCTAATACGTATGTAATTATATGTTTTGATATGATTTTGTGTGCCACTACGTGGATATATGTGATTTTGGAACTTTATCTGTTTACCGTATGAACATCTGTTTGAATAATCCGCTCTAAAAATTAAATTGAGGGCCTTATCGGCCACAGAACCCGAAATTGATTACGCCATCGTGATTGGCATAATTTTTAGAGCCTACGGTGAAATTTAATTAGAAATTGATTCGGGTCAGATTAAATCGATTAAATTGGTGGATTAGTGCCCAATTGCCTTATTATTATTATATTGACTTAGTGGGACTTGATGTATTTGAGCACTACACCTCATTTCTCTCTTTTAGCTCATTTTGACTGATTCTTGGACTCAATTTGAGAGAGAGAGCCGACTATAGAGAGGGAGAAATAGGGATTGTGCAATTGTGGTCTTGAAACTTGGAGGTTGGAAGTCTAATTCAAGATTT